CTACCGAACACTGAGTTGACTCAGCAGCGCTGCGACCGCGGCGGCGGCGAACGCCGCCGCGTCCATGCCGCCGCCGCCGCCGTTGCCGCCGCAGCCACCGCCGCCGCAGCCGCCGCCGCCGCCGCCACAGGCGCGAGAAAGCAACGTGGCGGCGCTCCCTGGGCCGCGGGTGCCACCGTGCGCACCCAGCCCGCCGGCGGCAGCCGGCGGCGTGGACGGCGGCGCGCGCGACACGCTTGCCGCCGCATCGGCCGCCCCAGTCCAAGCGCCACCCCTCGGGGGAGTGTTGCCGGCCGCTGCTGCCGCCGGTGCCGGTGCAGCCGGCCCCAGCACCGAGGTGCCGCAGCAGCAGTTTGAGGAGGACGTCCTCAGCGACAGCGACGATAGTTGAGGCTGCTTGGTCACCAACAGTAGTTAAAAAAAACTGTTCAGTTTTACGAAAAAGGGAGCTACCTGCTCCGGCGACACTAGGGACTCGGGCCTGATCCCGCACAAAACATCTCCACACTCTCTCCTCTCTATGACACGACTCTCCGACCTTGGGCTAGATTCCCATATTTCACCAACAGTAGTTACCCCTGGATAGAGTAGAGCTGTCAAACGTTAAGAGCTGAACAGTGTTGCTAGTGTTAACAGTAACAACAGAACAACAGTGGGGCTCCCCAACAACAGTAGCTAACGTTAGGCCAGCTGAACAACAATAAGGAAGGCCTGGCAGTGACCCACGACGATCTCCAGCGTCCAGTGCGGGTAATACCCGAAAATACCTGGAAAAACCCAGGTATTTTCGGGTTTTACCCGGGTTTTTTAGCATTTTCTGCTTGCTGACCACTGAACAACAGTAACAACAGTAACAAACAGTAACAGCTTGGGCTCGGGAGAACACTTGAACAACGTTGAGGATTTTCAGCCAACAATAGTGCAACTGTTAGGCCCAAAGTTAACGTTTGACAGCTCTACCCCTGGAGTCCCTCTTTCCACAAGGAATTGTTTCGAAACCCGAGCTCCCCTCCATATACACTGGATATATAGTGGGTTGAGTGGATACATGTATATTCTGGGTCCTGATATGTGAGTAAAAAAATTGCGTTTTACGTCCTGCGAAAGACGCACTCTCCCCCTCCCGTCGATCGTCCCCCTTGGCGTGGCGCGCCTCTCCCCCGGCTCTCGGTATCCCGCGTACTGCACGAGGCTACCGTGGGCCCCGCCTGCGCGCTGGAGGTTCCTTGCCCTGTCGGGAAGCCTTGTAGCTCTTAACCTGGGGTCGCTATACCTAAAATGCGGGGGGCTCCTGGACGGGCGATGAAGTTCGCCTTAAATCTCTCGTCTCGCTTTCCCCCCGACTCGCGTCCGTCGGGGGTACTCCCTACCCTCTGGCTCTCTGATCTCTCCCCCCCCCCACCCCCCCTTCTTTCCTTTTCGGGATGAGATGCGCACTGGTGTCCCTAAAAGGGGGTTGGGTGGGGTGGGAATTGATTCGATCCTCGGGTTATTCGCGGTCACCACGGAAGATCGCTGGAGTGGGCCGAAGGACAAAGGCTTGTGTGGGGGCGCGCGGGCGCCCACTCAGGGTCGGGCTCCGTTGTCTCAGCCTTCAGTTCACCTCTCCTAGCGCCCGGTTTGGTGTGGTGCACCGTGCGCCGCGCCGCAGTGCGGAAACGGGGCCCCGGCGCTCAGAGTCGCTCAGAGCACCGACTTCCCGATCTAACCCAGGCGCGAGAAAGCAACGTGGCGGCGCTCCCTGGGCCGCGGGTGCCACCGTGCGCACCCAGCCCGCCGGCGGCAGCCGGTGGCGTGGACGGCGGCGCGCGCGACACGCTTGCCGCCGCATCGGCCGCCCCAGTCCAAGCGCCACCCCTCGGGGGAGTGTTGCCGGCCGCTGCTGCCGCCGGTGCCGGTGCAGCCGGCCCCAGCACCGAGGTGCCGCAGCAGCAGTTTGAGGAGGACGTCCTCAGCGACAGCGACGATAGTTGAGGCTGCTTGGTCACCAATAGTAGTTTTGTTATACCAAAAGGAGGGCTACACGACGCCCTCTACGCTGGGGTGCCGGCGCCCTACTGGGCGCCCCCCGCTCCCTTCCCCTCAGAGCCCCCCATCCCACTAGCATTCCCCCGCGGTCCCTCGCGGTCGCGCGACGCCGCACCAATGGCGCGCTGTGCCTCGTCCGCGAGCGCCACCCAGAGCTGCACCGACAGTCGCTGCAGCGCAAACGGCATCCATTCGCGCGCCGACCACGACGTCTGGTCGTACTGCCACCACGTGAGCTTCCGGCCCGCCACCTCAGCCACCCGCATCAGCAGCTCCTCCACCCCCGCGCTCATTGCGCCGAACTCCTCGAAGAGCAACGCCTCCACATGGCACTTCCCCTCTGCGTCCGTGTACTGGCCCTTGACAGCCTCAACCGTCCCGGTCCCCGTCCGCGGATCCCACCGTCCCACCCTCCCACCCCTGTCCCCGCCCTCCACGCCCAGAACCGTCTCGCGGGCGCGTGGCAGCGTGTTGCCGCAAGCGATAGTAGTTACCCCTGGAGTCCCTCTTTCCACAAGGAATTGTTTCAAAAACCGAGCTGCCCTCCACACACATATACTGGATTGCGAGTGGATATATCTGGGTCCCTGCCATATGTGAGTAAAAAAATGCGTTTTATCCCACACCGCCGTTCGGTCTTTCTTTCGCCTGTGTTAGTGCCAGTCCGTCCAGTATAGTTGGAATCGCCAAGCAGGCCGCCGCCATCGCCACTACGTGCCTCCCTTGCATCACTACGTGCCTCTGCACACCTCGCAAAGCGGTTGCGGCCATAGCAGACAGGAGTGGCAAACATATGCTCCTCCGCGTCATCCACCTGAACGTCCACCGCTTCGCCAACGTCGCGGCCGGCTCCTCCACCTCGGCGGCCGGCTCCTCCACCGTCGGCGCGGTGGGCGCTGCTCTCTCGGCTCTCCACCCGGACCTTGTCACGCTGAACGAGGTGGATGTCGCTCACATGCCTGGGTGCCTGGAGTCCGTGTCGACCGCACTCTCGCTGCCGTTTGTCGAGTTTTTTGGCCACGTGCGCGGCACCTATGGGAACGCCATCCTCTCGCGCTATCCGCTGTCCCGGCGAAAGGCGGTCCATCTCGAGGGAGGGACCGAGTTCCGATTCCCCGCCGGCACCCGCAAGTTCAACGGCGAGATCGCAAAGGAGAATGAGGCGCATCGCATCGTGCGCGGCCTTCTGATCACAGACGTGGAGTTGCCTTCTGGCCTTCGGCCGCTCGGTGTGGCGGTGACGCATCTGGACCACATGGACGTCGCCCAGCGGAGGACGCAGCTGCGGCACATCGTGCGAGAGGCCGGCGACGGTGCCCTGCTGCTCATGGGCGACCTGAACGCGCTGACTCGCTCCGACTACAGCGACGGCGCGTGGCGACGGCTCGAGGAGCGCGCGCGGGAGAGGAAGTGGCAGCTGCCGCAGCACGGCGACCTCTCCATCCTGCGAGACGCGAAGTTTGAGGACGTCGCCGTCGCCTCCGGGTCGGAGGTGCAGCTGACCGCCCCCGCAAGGGAGCCGCTGTACCGGGTAGACTACGGCTGGCTGCGCGGCGGCGGCGCGCCGGGCACCGCGAAGACCGCGCCGCCGGGCGCCACCATCACGATGGAGGCCGCCAGGGTGCACGGCGAGGTGCTCGTCTCGGACCACCTCCCGCTCGTGGTCGACTTGCAGCTGGGGGAGGCCGCGAGCGGCGAGTGAGAGCCCCCCAAATTATATGTGGGTGTGCAGGGTTCTTACTTGCCAAAAAAGTCTATACAAACAGTTTTTGTAAACTCTAAACACTCTACGTATATGCGGGAACGTTGCGGTATGCAGCAACGAAATATCTTGTGTCGTGGACCGGATCCCAGCAGCTCAGGCCTCAGCACACCACAGTGTGAACACTACGGCTCTATGACAACAGACACACACACACACACACACACACACACACACACACACACACACACACACACACACACACAGATCGCACACACACACACACACACACACACACACACACACACACACACACACACACACACACACACACACACACACACAGATCACACACACACACACACACACACACACACACACACACACACACACAGATCGCACACACACACACACACACACATTTGACTCGTCTCTCGCTTGCCCCCCCCCCCCCCCTCCCTCCCCCTGAGAATAACCGGTCCTAACTGGGGGGCCAAACTCACACCTCGGGGGAATACTTATGTTTTCGTAAACGTAGTCGTGGCCCCCCGCTACGTCGCACGAGTGCAACCGGGTAGGGGGGACGGGGGGAGCTAAAATCTCTCTCTCTCTCTCAGATCTCCCCTCGATCGAGCTACGGAATACTTTTGTTGGATAGGGGTGGGATTCTCCTTCGCCCTTCGGGCTCGGGCTGTGGCGTTACGCGCCATTCACCGCACAACTGTGAAGAGAGAGAGAGAGAGACTCTCTCTCTCTCTCTCTCTCTCTCTCTCTCGCACAACTGTGAACGGTGACTCGAAGATCTTCCGGCTAAAATTCTTTCGCTCTCTCTGCGTGAACGCTCTACGCGGAGAGCGAGTCGTAAGGCAAAGCCAGCACTCTCCTCGTCCGCTCGCGCTTGCCGCGCCGCATTGCGCCCGACTATGCCGCCGCGAGCTGCACACCTAGACCCCCGCGACGCCTATTGCTCACGGAACCCGCCGCCCCCTCACCACCCCTACCACGCGATGCGCCCTCGCTCGCGGCGCGAGCGGCTGTACCCCCCTCGGCCTCGCACCGCCTGCCTACTCCCGCTCGCAGGTACAGCCGCTGCCATCGAGGAGGTCGCGAGACGCGTCCGCTGCTGCCCATTCCACACCCTTGTCCCGCGCGAACCCGTCCGACCGCCCTCCCTCTCTTACGCGGGTACTCGCACCGCCTCGCATCTCTGCTACATCTAGAGAGTGCCAAGACTCTGTGTCCGCAGCCGCGAGGGCCACTCGAGCGCTGGCCTGCACCTACCATCGGGGACACCACCTTCAACCGCTTCTTGACTCTCTGCAGGAATTCATTCGATCACATGCTCAAACTCGAGCTGGTGCCGGCCGCCGGTGACAAGCTCGTGCTCAAGCTCTCTCCTCCGCCGCCGCTTGCTGACAAGCAGGTGTGCGTTAATTTGCAGTGGCTGAGGGAGGGGGTATGCACACGCGCACCGCTGCAACGCACGCAACGCTGCGCCTTCCCTGCAAGACGACCCTCTTGCGTTCTGTGGCTGACAGGCGTCTCTGGCGGACAACACGGCCGTCGTCGACTCTGACGGAGGTAACGCCGTCGGCATCCCCTCCGAGCCCGTCTCGCTCAAGGATGGCATCGACACCGGCACCGGCGGCACCTGCACCGCCAACACCGGCACTGGCAACGTCCCGTCCGAGGGCGAGCCCGCCGGCTCGCTCGCCGGCGTCCACTTTGCGGGCGTTTCGCTCGACGCCGTGCCCGAGGCGTTCACCGTCGACGATCCGGCCGGCGCCAAGGCCGTCGGCATCCCGCCCGAGAGCGAGCCCAGCCCGCTCAAGGACGGCATTGACGCGGGCGGCGGCAACGTCGCGGGCGAGTCTTCGCCGATGAAGTCCTTCGCGAAGGTCGGAGTCATCTCCGAGTCGGTGTCGCCTTCGCTCCTCGGAGCGAAGGTGCGCGTGCGCTCGCCAGGATCGTATATCATCCCTCTCCCGTCTCTGAAAGCCTGTGCGTACTTTCCCTCGCCCACAGGCGTGCGGTGTCAAGGACACCCCCGTGGCAAAGTCTGGCACGGAGGACGTCCTCAAGAAGGACCCGGCCGCGGAAAAGGCGCCCGACGCGGGCGCGGTCGACTCGGACAAGGCCAAGGCCATGTTCGCCACCCACGCGCCGCGCCTGCCCGCCGTTTTCTGGTCCAAGTTTACGCGCCCGACCGGCCCACCGACGGCCCCCACCGGCGCCGTCAAGGGCGCCCTCAAGAAGGACATCCCTGCGGCAACGTCTGGCGCGGAGGCCTGCGTTGACGAGACCGGCGCCATCAAGAACCCGGCGCTCAAGCCGGCCACCGAGGTCGCCACGGCCCTCAAGCCGGCGGAGGCCGGCGGCGCGCCGCTGCCGTCGATCAAGGAATTTCCGGAGGAGAAGAAGCCCGCCGCCACGGCGGCGAGCGCCTGGTGCGCGCCGGCGTCTGCCGACCCACTCTGTGACCCCATCCTGCGTTCGACGCGTAGGGCGACGCCGACTGGAAGGAGTTTCCAGAGGAGACGGCCGCCCCGGCGGTGAGCACCTCCACCAGCAGAAGCACACGCGGGTATTGCGGGGACACGCGAGTCCTACAGGCGGGCACTTACATTGATCCTGTGACCTCTCGTCTGCCGCACGGCACGCGCGCGCAGGTCATCGACGGGTGGAAGACCCCCTCCCCGCTCCGCAAGATCGAGCGCAAGGAGTCTCCGCTAGCGGAGAAGCTCGCCCCGGCGGTGAGCGCCTCGCACGCTGCGGTTGTACGCGCAGAGCCTCAACTATTGACGCACCCACCGCTTGCGCGTGCGCAGGGCATCCCCGACAGGGCCACCCCGTCGAACCCGCGCCGCAAGAAGGGGCGCAAGGGCGCGTCCGCCCCGATCGTCCGCACCAAGAGCATCGCCCCGGTCGGCGGCAACAACCGGTTCGGGGCCCTGCTCAAAATGGACGGCAACGAGGGCATCCTCGGCGGCACCGGCAAGGTGACCGGCGGCTCCACGCCGTCGACCACAGACTCGGTGCTCGCCGCCTGCATACATGCAGCCTCCCCCCCCGCTCGCCGCTCAACCGCCAGTCTCCCGCCCTCCTGTTCAGGGCGCGACGGCCAACGTCGAGACGACCACGAATACCACGCCTGAGGGCTCTGCCGCCGGCCGGTTCCCGTGGTCAAAGTCCTACAACTTGCTCCGCCTCTTTGGGATCCTCGCGCTGATCTGCCTCGGAACCGCGTTTGCGCTCTCCTCGTACCCTGCCCCCTCCGCGCTTCTCTCCTCGCAGTGGCACGAGTCCCCGACTTCCTTTCCCGCAGTCACAACGCCGATCGCGCCGGCATCGCTTAACGGCTTCTGCGAGGTTGGCGGCATCGACACCAGCTCGTTTGTGGCCATCGTATCGTCGGACAGCGCGCCCGCCAACCACCCGGTGCGTGCTCGCTCGCGCGTGCTAGTATCCGCGCCGCGCAAGCTCGTGACTAACAGCCCGCGCGCCGTTCAGGGCGGACGCGACGAGGAGCGCTTCTGGGAAGCACTGATGGACAAGATCGGCGAGGCGGTGGGCGAGCCGTTGCACCTAATTGGCGAGCCGCTGGCGTCCGTCAAGGACCTTTACGAGAAGCAGCCGGTGAGCGCCCCTCTGGCTGTTTCTATGTGCGAGCTTTGTAACCCGCTGACGGAACGATTGCCTGTTTGCGAGTAGGCCGAGGCCGACTTGGAGACCGGCCCGGCCTCGCGCAACAGCATGGAGCGCAAGGGCGAGCCTGAGATCGACCTCGTCGGTCCCGTCTACAGCAGCAGATCGGGGATCATCGCTCGGGGACGCGACACCGTCTTGCCCGTGAACGACACGTCGCCCGAGTTGCGGCCCGCCGACGCTGGGAAGCCTGGGATGCTGGAGGTGCGGAAGCTGGTCGAGACTGGCCTCGGCGCGCCCGTCGCTAGCATGCACGCCGGCGGCGAGTGGCGGGCGAACGACGGATTGACGGACGCTTCTCGAGTCCCAACCAAGGACCTCTTCCTCCAGCGTTGCCGGGCCGTCAACCCTCGTCTCACGGCCACGCTGGGGGAGCCAGCGTGGCCTGAAGAGGTCCGCACCGTCGCCGACTCGAACGCGGTCGAGTCAGATATCTTCTCGGTCCCAAGTGTGTGCGCCGACTGGCAGCCACGCGGCGCTGCCCGTGCGTGGCACGCGAAGCCTCGCCACGCGCTCACCGACGAGCGCTCCAAGACCGACAAGCCGCCCGCGGACCCACCGGCCGACGAGCTCTCCATTGACCTACCCTCCCCGTTCCACTTTCCCTTCACGAGCGGAACCTCCTCTTCCGCGCCTGGCCGCGCCCGGCAGCGCGGTCAGCTTTTGGCCGCCTTGTTTTTGCTGCTTGGAGCGTGCGGCGGCGTGCTGCTCTCAGTGCGGCGGAGCACCTCTGGGCGCCTCGCGCAGGGATCAAGGCGCGGCGCGAGGCTGCTTCTTCTCGTCGCGCTGCTCCCGCTGGCATGTGCACCATCAGACCACACGTCTGGCTCAATCGACTTGCAGGTCACTGTGGGTGGCGGCAGCTACCCGTCCGAGGTGTCGTGGGACCTGACGTGCAGCGGCGCGTTGATCGGCAGTGGAGGGGCCCCCTACTCTGGCACCCTGTCCGCGCCGCCCGGCGAGTGTACGCTCGACATGAACGACTCGTACGGCGACGGCTGGAACGGCGACTTGTGGAAGGGTGCGGGCTATACGTTCACGCTCGACTCCGGATCCTACGGCAACGAGACGTTCATCCTCGCCCTCCTCCCTCCGTCGTCTCCGCCGTTTCCGCTTTTGCCGCCGCTCTCCCCGGACTTTGTCGCCGCGTCGAGCGAGGCTAAGCTCCGCTCCCTGATCCAGAGCGCTAGCGACGACGTCTCAATCTACTTGCCGCCCAGTGCAGACTTCAAGCTGAGCAGCCAGATCAGCTGCGTCTCCAGCATCAAGGTGACCGTCGCCAGCAGCGGCGAGGGCGCGACGCTCGACGGCCAGGGACAGACCGGGCTCTTTTACCTCTCGGGCGGCTGCAGCCTCACCCTGCGGGGGCTGACCCTCGTCAACGGGAGTGCGAGCTTCGGCGGCGTTGTGTACGCGAGCGGCGCAGGCGACGTCGAGATCATCGACTCGACGGTCAGAGACTGCTCGGCTGGCTATGTGCGCCGTGTAGAGCTAGCCGCACTCCAGCAGCGCCGCACGGCAGCGGGGCGAGAGTAGAGAGGGCCACGGCTGCCTCACCCCGCTCTCTCCTCGCAACCGCAGGACGGCGGCGTCGTCTACGCGTCTAGCAGCGGTGCGGTCTCGATCATCGACTCAGATGTGTCGGGCTGCTCGGCTACTGGCGATTACGGGGTGCGCCGCGTAGAGCTAGCCACACCCCTGCAGCGCTGCACGGCAGCTGGGCAAGCGACAGAAATGGCTGCGGCTGTCTCACCACCCTCTCTCCTCGCAACCGCAGGTGGGCGGCGTCGTCCACGCGGCGGACAGCGGTGCGGTCTCGATAATCGGCTCGACCGTGTCGGGCTGCTCGGCTGTCGAGGTGCGCCGCGTAGAGCTAGCCGCCTCCTGCAGCGCCTCACGGCAGCGGGGCGAGAGATGGAGAGGGCCACGGAGCTGCCTCACCCCGCTCTCTGCTCGCAACCGCAGTCCGGCGGCGTCGTCTACGCGTATGACAGCGGTGTGGTCTCGATAATCGGCTCGACCCTCGTCAACGGGAGGGCGGACTTCGGCGGCGTTGTGTACGCTTACCAGGCAGGCGACGTCGAGATCATCGGCTCGGCCGTGACGGGCTGCTCTGCTCGGGTGCGACGCGTAGAGCTAGCCGCGCCCCTGCAGCGCCGCACGGCAGCGAGGCGAGAGACAGAGAGGGCCACGGCTGCCTCACCCCGCTCTCTCCTCGCAACCGCAGTACGGCGGCGTCGTCTACGCGCGGGACAGCGGTGCGGTCTCGATAATCAGCTCGACCTTGACGAGCTGCTCTGCTGTCGATGTGCGCCGCGTAGAGCTAGCCTCCCTCCAGCAGCGCCACACGGCAGCGGGGCGAGAGATGGAGAGAGCCACGGCTGCGTCACCCCGCTCTCTCCTCGCAACCGCAGTTCGGCGGCGTCGTCTACGCGTATGAAAACAGCGGTGCGGTCTCGATAAGCGGCTCGAACGTGTCGGGCTGCTCTGCTGGCTGGGTGCGCCGCGTAGAGCTAGCCACCTCCTTGCAGCCCCTCATGGCAGCGGGGCGAGAGATGGAGAGAGCCACGGCTGCCTCACCCCGCTCTCTCCTCGCAACCGCAGGACGGCGGCGTTGTCCACGCGCCTGGCAGCGGTGCGGTCTCGATAAGCGGCTCGACCGTGACGGGCTGCTCGGCTGGCGAGGTGCGCCGCGTAGAGCTAGCCGCACCCCTGCAGTGCCTCACGGCAGCGGGGCCAGAGGTAGAGAGGGCCACGGCTGCCTCACCCCGCTCTCTCCTCGCAACCGCAGTTCGGCGGCGTCGTCCAAGCGTCTGGCAGTGGTGCGGTCTCGATAATCGGCTCGAATCTGACGAGCTGCTCTGCTGGCTCTGTGCGCCGCGTAGAGCTAGCCTCCCTCCAGCAGCGCCGCACGGCAGCGGGGCGAGAGATAGAGAGGGCAACGGCTGCCTCACGCCCCGCTCTCTCCTCGCAACCGCAGCGTGGCGGCGTCGTCTACGCGCTTAGCAGCGATTCCCTCTCCATCGCGGGTATCGACTTCATCGACAACAGAGCGGCGATCTCAGGCTCGGTGCTGTACCTTTCAAACACGCCCTCCTCGATCAGCGCCGCCTCCTTCACCGGCAACACCGCTGGCGACGACAACGACGGTGGCACGATACAGGCCATCAACTCGCCGATAAACTGGGACTGCCGCTTGGGCAGCTGGATGCCGCGCAAGGGCTCCTTTTTTGGCGACTTCAGCGTCCCCGAGTGCAACCTCTGCCCTGCTGGCTACTATGGGAACACGAGCGGCCGCACCAACTCCTCCTGCGATGGTGCGTGTAAGCGAGGCCACTTTTGTCCCAAGGGCACAGCGGAACCGCTCCCGTGTGCGCCTGGTTTCTACATGCCCGTGATTGGCGCAGCCAGTGCCGAGTCGTGCCTCCCTTGCTCTCCGGGGACGAGCCAGTCCACAGCCGGCACGGACCGTCCCTGCGACGAGTGTCCTCCCGGCACGTTCGCCGATCAGCTCAACGCCACCAGCTGCACCGACTGCCCCGCGGGACGCTTCTGCCCGAATGCAGGCACCATCCAGCCCCTCGACTGTGCCGCAGGGCAGTACCAGAACCTCACCGGCCAGGCTGCGTGCATGCAGTGCCCTGCTGGCGAGTTCCAGGCGGAGCGCGGACAGACGGCATGCGACACGTGTGAAGCGGGTGGATACTGCAATACCACCAAGGACTGTGGCGGCGGCTTCACGCCCTGCCCTGCGGGGAGGTACAACGAGAAGACGGGCAGCAGCTCACCAGATGCCTGCCAGCAGTGCCCCGTCGGAACCTCTAGCCCGACCGCCGGCGCAGTCAGCAGCGAGACCTGCGCGAGCTGCCGTGCTGGGACGTTTGGCGGCAAGCCCGGGCTGAGTGAGTGCACGGACTGCCCTCCGGGAAGTTATCAGAACGACACGGGCGCGACGTCCTGCCGCGACTGCGAGCAGGGCAGCTACTGCGCCAAGGGCGCGTCGGCGCCACTGCCTTGCGACGCGGGTACCTACTCGGACAAGACGGACCTCACCGCCGCCTCGCAGTGCGTCGACGCCTCGCCGGGCCACTTTGCCACCACCGGCTCCACAGAGCAGACGCCGTGTCGCGAGGGTAGCTTCGCCGCCAAGGCGCGCAGCGAGGCCTGCGAGCTGTGCGGCCAGGGCTACTACCAGAGCGAGCCCGCCGCCGCTGCCTGCGTCCGCTGCGCTCCCGGCAAGTTTTGCCCGGTGGGGTCGTCGCGCGAGCTGGACGCGCAGTGCTCGCCTGGCACGTACGCCAATGTGACGGACGCCGACGGCGACCCCGAGTGCCTCGACTGCCCCGCCGGCTCGTCGTGCGCGGGAGGTGGCGCCGCGCCTGCCGTGTGCTCTCCGGGAACCGCAGCCAAGCCTGCTCAGCGCCAGTGCACCGTCTGCGATGAAGGGACGTACCAGCCGGACTCCGGAGCCGCGGGCTGCCTCGAGTGCGCGCTGGGTACGTTCTGTCCCAAGGGAAGCAGCGCTCAGCTGCCGGCGACCTGTCCCGCGGGCTTCTACAACGGGAAGGCGTCCACCACGCTGGAGAGCCTCGACGATTGCGTCGGTTGCGCGCCTGGCAGCTTCTGCGCCGGCGGCGCCGCGCAGCCAGCGCCTTGCGCTCCAGGCAGCATCGCCCCCTCGGCCAACATGTCTGCTTGCGAGCTGTGCCCGATCGGACGCTTCGCAGCCTCCTCCACCGAGTGCGAGGAGTGCGAAGCGGGCACCTACGCTGCGAGCGAGGGCCTGTCGCAATGTACTCCCTGCCCTTACCCTACCGGCTCCGACAGCGGCGACGTCACCTGCTCCATCTGCAAGGAGGGCTTCTACCTGCGGGACGCGAGCGCCCTTCCGGATGACATCTTCCGCTTCCCGACCGACTACTGCAAGCCATGCCCGCCAAACGCAGAGTGCTCGGACGACACCTCGCTCGCGACCCTCGGCGTCCCAACCGGCTACTGGCGCGCCAGCCCCTCCTCCGCCGTGCTGACGGCGTGCCGCGCCTTTGGAGGGGATGGCCAGGCGGGCCAGGCGCGGTGTGTCGGCAATGTTGATCCGGGAGAGGCTAGCGGTCGGAGGGTGCAGGAGGCCGGCTTGGACTACTGCGCAGACGCCTTCGCCGGCCCCGAGTGCCAGCTCTGCCGCGAGCCGAACCACTACCTGGACGCCGACGGCGCCGCCTGCAACGAGTGCGTCGCTGTCGGCACGGCGGCGGGGCGCATGGCGGGCACCGCCCTCGGCCTCTGCGTCGCGTTTGGCCTCGTGGCGTTGGCGTACTCAGTTCAGCGCGGGCAAACCGAGTGGAGGAAGGAGCGCTTCATCGGACTTCCCTTGCGCATCGCCGACCGCACCGGTGACGCGATTTACAAAATCGGCCTCATCCCCAAGTTCAAGATCTTGTTTGGCTTCTACCAGGTCTGCCTCGTCCTCTCCACCACCTACTCGGCGCGGCTGCCGGAACGGTACACGGGCTGGACGGAGGCGCTGGCCGAAGCCGTCTTCATCGACTGGTCGGGCATCGTGCTGCCGGTGCAGTGCCTGCCGCACAAGTCCCGGCTCGTCGCCGTCGCGATCTCTCCCATCGGCGTCATCGCGCTGCTCCTCTTTGCTGGCATTGTCTTGCGGCTCTGTGCACGCTGGCGGCGTGCTCGGCGAGGGGCTGGCTGCGAGAGCGGCTCCGAGGTCGACGGCGCGACAAGCAACGTTCTCGGTGGCGAAGCACAGCTGCAGGAGCCACCATCGTCTTCAGCTGCGGAGCCACCGACGGCGCTGGCCGAAACTGACGATGCGGCGGTCTTTTCATGGCCTGCAGAGGTGGCGCTCGGCCTCCTCGACCTCACGCGGGGGGGTTTGGTGCTCATCTTTCTTTTGGGGCCGTCTGTGAGCGCCACGATCTTGCGCGGGTGGTCGTGCCAGGTGCTAGCCACAAACAAACAAGCCCCCCCCCCCCCCCCCCAAAAAAAAACCCCTTAGCTGTGTCGATGTGCGTGCGCAGGGCTACACCACCTCTGCGCCGGGCGAGACGCTCGCTCTGGTCGAGTACATGCGGCAGGACGCGAGCGTCGAGTGCGGCACCGACGAGCACGACTCCATCACGAGACTCGCCATTGGCTTCGTCGTCATCTGGCCGGTCGGCTCGCTAGTCCTCTACTCGGCCCTTCTTCTCGCATGCTACAAGCCGCTGCAGGCCAAGTCGCCGAACGCGCTGACGAAGGCCACCGCCTTCCTTCACCGGGAGTACAAAAGGAACTGGTACTGGTGGGAGGCGGCCGATCTGGCGCGCAAGCTCTTTCTGACGGGCTTCGTGCTGCTGGTTGCCGAGGAGGAGGACTCCTTTGTTCGTCTCGTCGTGGCGGTGCTCGTGTGTTCGTGCTACGCCGTCGCGATCGCCCTGGTCCAGCCCTACAAGCGGTTCGAGGACAACATCCTCGCCGTGGTGCGCCCTTCGCCCAATCCCACACGCCCTTTGCGCTTGCTTGTGCTGCAGCTCTCAGCACACGCTTGGATCGCCGTGGCCAGTCCATCACCCACCCCACACACGCCCTTCCCACTGCAGTCACTCTGAGCCCAACGGACGCGGCTCGCACTGCAGGCCACCAGCCTCGTCCTCCTCCTCCTCTTCCTCGGTGCCAGCTGGACCACCATCTTCCTCAACATCGAGTTGCGATTCCCCGGGGACGAGCCGGGGCAGTCGGCCTCCGCCGTCCTCGGCTTCAGGTCTGAGAATGGACTGGTGAACTGGATGCTCGTCCTTGCTGCGGCTGCGCTCCTGATCTTCCTCGTGGGTACCATCATCGCCATCCGCCGCCTTGCCAAGGTCCCCACGATTCGCCTCGTCTTAACCAAGCAGCCCCCCGAGCTGGCTCTGGTGGACGGCCTCACGTGGCACCTCTTCCTCTCGCACATCTGGTCAGTCCTGTGGTCAGAGGGAGACGCGGCGTAGGAGAACCCGCCAGAACGACCCGCCACTCCCCGAATAGGTCCACCGGCCAAGACGCAGTCGCGGTCATCAAGAATGAGCTTAAGCTCTTGATCCCCGGCATCAAGATCTTCCTCGATGTGGACGATTTGAAGGACATCGGGTCGCTGGAGAATTACGTTGACCGCACGCAGGTCATGCTCTTCTTCCTGTCGAGGGGCTACTTCCGCTCGAAGGCACTCCCCCAGCCCCCCTCCTTTTCCGAGAGTGCCTCGCTGTGTCGCCCACGACTACTCGTGCGCTCCTTGCCTGCAGAACTGCCTGCGCGAGATTCGGACGTCGCTCGAGAAGAGCAAGCCGCTCGTCCTCGTGCAAGAGGCGGACCCGGCCAAGGGCGGCGGGACGCTGCAGGCGCTCCCCGCCCACCCCCAGCTCTGACCCTGCGGGGATTGCTCTCGCCACACACGGCTCTGAGGGGCGGTGTCGCCGCCGCCGCCGCACGCCAGCACTCACTCACGCACACCGTCGCTGCACGACTGCAGGAGTTGCGAGCACAGTGCCCGGAGGTCCTCCAGCCGGAGATCTTTGACAGGGGGTGGGCGCAGACGACGTGGCACCGCATCGACGAGTATCAGCGTGTCTCGCTTAAGATCATCTCCGAGGTGCCGCCACGGACAACTCCCTGCAGCTGTTCTGCCGTCGCCTCGACCTTGACCGCCGCCCCCTCGCACCTACCCACAGGCGCTCCTCCTCTGCTCGCCACACTACCTGAACCTGACCTCCCTCCCGCTCTTCATCCCGGGCGAGGTCCAGGGCCAGCCGATCTCCTTCTCCAAGTCCGTCGTGCTCTGGCCTGCACCATGAGGTACGCTCCCCCGGCGGCACCTTTGCCACAGCGCCCGCCTCCTGAAGCGACTGATCTTGCACCCCCGGTCTCACAGGTGTCGCTCGTGCTGCTGGCCAAGGCTCTGGGCGCAACCCCGGTGAGCGCTCGCTCGAGCATCCGCGACTCGCTTTCGAATATCGGGCGCTTCACTACCGCGCCTCGCGGCTCGACGACGTCCGACCCAGTCGTTACCGAGGAGGATTCGCAGCTGGAGCAGCTGCCAGAGGTGGAGCAGGTGTAGAGGTGACGAGCAACTTTGCAGTTCGGCTCAAGCGGCAAGGGTTGGATCGCGCTAACCACTTCCAGGAGTGCGCTGCGTTGGCATAGGGCGTTTTATGTTGAGGCTTCCTCGTAACGACGAGCTAACATATTAGAGACGACTCTCTCTCATCGTCAGGAAAGTGGCCCCTCCGATATATCGCGTCCGAGCGCGGTATGTAGCGGTCCCGGTATGTATCGCGAACCCCGCTACATATCGTCCGGTGTTATGTATCGGTCCGGGGCGGTACACATACACATCGGTCGGCGCGCTACATACCGCCTCCGGGGGCGCTATATAACGGCCGAGACGTCTGCCCCTTTTTTGTGGGGTGTGGGACCCCTTTCAGGAAAACAGGGGGCGGGGCGGCCGTCCGGATCGGCGGCGGCGGCGGTGGCGGCGTAGCGTGGTTTGTGGCTGTGGCCGAAGGCGTGTCGGGGGGTGGGAGGATCTGCATCGCATGAAGCGAAGCGGAGTCTGGTCGCTGGGAAGGTCGACGTCTCGCGTCGGTGGGTGCGTGGGTCGGGAGGTGTACTGCTGGGGTCGGGGAGGCGGCGCAGGGGGTGGGCGTGGCGGGGCTGCGGAGGGTCGGTGGCGGCCTCGAGGCGGGCGGCGGAGGTGTGTGGGGCGGCGGAGGTGTGCTGTCGCTGGCTCTCTGGGCGAGCGTGAGGCCGCAGCCGAGAGGGGGCGGTGGGGGATGTGGCCGTGACGGCATCGTGGGAGTGCGCGAGGGCGGTGGAGGCGGACGCGCGGGTGGTGGCTGGGCCGGCAGGGATGGTGACGGCGATGTGATGTGTGTTTGCGAATGGTGAGGGCGAAGCTGCGCGGTGCGCTGTGCTCGGGCGGTCGTCTTGGCTTGCCACGGGTGGGAGAGTGCGTGGGCACAGTGATCGAGACGCGTGCCTGCCGATTGCGCTCCTCCTCGTAGGCGGAGAGCGTCTTCGCCCTGACGGCCATCGCCGCGCGCGCCTCCTCCGGCTCGTCGGGGAAGTACAGGTACAGCTCGCGGCCGAGGCGGCGCGAGCGGCTCTGCGGGGGCGCGAGTGGTGACGCGTTGGAATGGCGGGACGCACTGCGTTCGGGGAGGGGCGCGGCGTGCGACGCTTCCCCGACGTGCTCTTCACGTCAGCGGCTGAGGCTGCGGCTGCGGCTCCGGTGGGGAGGGGGTGCGAGCGGTGTGCACGAGCCTGCCACTCGCGAAAGAAGAGGTCGCGTACGATCTGGAGGCGCGCCGTCGGGTACAGCCTGGGGCAGCGTGGCGCGCGAGGGTGTCCCGGGCGGCGCGATGCGGCGAGGAGCATACGGCGAGGCGCGCGCGCGCGAGGGAAGGCGCGCGCGCCGCGAGGAGCTGGAAGAAGTTGCAGACGGTCTGCGGCGTGGCGGAGTGAGCGTGAGGGTAGCGTGAGGGCGCAGCGGAGGAGAGCTCGAGGCGGGAGGGGGCGCGCGGCGAGAGTCGAGGTTGGCGTGGAAACAGCGAGGGCCCAACGAACGGGCAGCTGCGCGTAGCCTGGCGCGGGCACCGTCGCTGCGCCGAGACTCGCCAGGAGATCGTCCACCACTTTCGCGCTCGCCTTCCCGGCTGCCAGAGCCGCAGGACTGCCCAACCCGCCTCGCCAAAGAGGCACCGCGGGTTTGCACTCGGGTCTTCCAGCACGGCCCGCAGGCGAGCCACCTGCGGGTTGACCGCGCCTTCGGCGGCCGCGCTGGGTGCGCCCGCATCCTCCTCGTCCAACTCCTGCTCATCGACCGGCACCGGCGACCCGCCGCCTCACCGGGCACCAGCGACCCACCACCTCGCCGGTGCTCGTCGCTGCCAATCTCCTCCGACGACCCCCCCGAGGAGTCGCCGCCGGTGCCGCCGTCGAACGCGACGCGATGTGCTTCTGGTACGCGCCGTTCCGCGTTTGCAAGAGGCCTCTGCAGCGAGGACAGCGTTCGGGCATGGCACCAAGAGCGCTTCATATCACAGGCTGAGGCGCTACATACCGCCCCTGCTTCATATCGGTCAAACTGGCGGTACATATCGCTGGCGCTACATAGCGGGCCGGCAGCGATGTGTAGCGCTGGCGCCGGTACATATCGGCCCGGACTGCTACGTACCGCCTCCGGTAACATAGCGCAACATTGGCGAGAGAAGCGCCGCCGTGACCATACCACCAGCGGGTGATACACAGCAGAGTCGGTACACAGCGCTCCAGGCCGATACGTATCAGTGCCAGCGCTACATATCGCTGCCGGACCCATAAGTAGCGCGAGTGCTACATATCACCAGTTAGGCCGATATGTAGCGCGAGCGTTATGTGGCGATCTGCGGCGCTATGTAGCCGGCTGGGGTGATATGTACCACGCAACTCCGGTATATAGCCCCGCCGATGTGTAGAGCTGTCAAACGTTAACTGTGGGCCTAACAGTTGCACTATTGTTGGCTGAAATCCTTAACGTTGTTCAAGTGTTCATCCCAGCCCATGCTGTTACTGTTTGTTACCGTTGTTACTGTTGTTCAGCGGCCAGCAAGCAGAAAACGGCAAAAAACCCGGGTAAAACCCGAGAATACCCGGGATTTTCCAGGTATTTTCGGGTATTACCCGCACTGGACGCTGGAGATCGTCGTGGGTCACTGCCAGGCCTTCCTTATTGTTGTTCAGCCGGCCTAACGTTAGCTACTGTTGTTGGGGAGCCCAACTGTTGTTCTGTTGTTACTGTTAACACTAGCAACACTGTTCAGCTCTTAACGTTTGACAGCTCTACCAATGTGTATCACCCGGCAGCGATAAAGTATGGGTAGCACTGACCGGTATGTAGCACACCAGGCGTTATGGTATAGCGGCGCCGATATGGTATCACCGCCGGGCGCTATATCACGGGGCGCTGCATAGCACCCTCCAGCGATACGTATCGGCCGAGGCGATATGTAGCGCGGACAGGCGACAGCCGCTACATAGAGCCGTATCGGAGGGGCCACTTCCTGACGCTTATTTCTTTTGCAGTTGTATATGCGCTCCCAACAGTCACACACTCGCACATTCGGCTGTGACACGGCATACGTACGTAGTAGTCATTTCCCCACAAGACCCTTCGAGTGGCACGGGAGTGGCCTCCAGGGGACCATGTACGACCCGCGAGATCGTCACGCCCCCAGGTCGTCTCTCGGACCCCCGGACTCGCGGCAGCCTCTCCCCACGCCAAGCGGCAACGTAGCGACATGCAGTACTCCGCCCCCCCCCAAGGAGCCGGCAGAGGTTGGCCAAGGACCGCGTCCCTCCGCTGCACTCCCTAGGAGCAGCGG